GCATGGGTTAAATCTTAACGAACTCAACAAAAAGTCGTTGCTCGCCATATGATTTGTGAAAAAGCAAAATCATTAGTTAGAAGAATTCAATTTATTGCATTATATCCAAATATTTCTGAATGTAAATGGGGTGAAAAATGGTTGGCTGGATTTATGCGACACTATAAACTTAGTAATCGTCGCCGTACAACAGTATCGCAAAGATTACCAGATGATTTAATTGAAAAACAGCAAGAATTTTAAGTTTCATTTTATATTGACGTATTCAATATGATTATCCTTTGAATTTAATTGGAAATATGGATGAAACACCATTATCTTTTGATATTCCAAGTAATATGACTGTAGAGGAAACTGGTGCTAGTACAGTTAGCATACGTAAAACTGGACATGAAAAGTCTAATTTTACTGTTGTTCTTAGTTGTATGGAAGATGGTACAAAATTACCACCATTAATAATTTTTAAATTAGTAAATGTTCCGTTTCAAATATTTCCATCAGGGGTTGTAATTCGTGCTGATCGTGAGGGGTATATGAATTCAGATGAAATGATTTGGTGGATTGAAAATGTTTGGAACTTACATGCAACGCGATCTATTAACCCATGCTCATTACTTGTTCTGGATACATTTCGTGGTCATTTAACAGATGTAGTGAAACGAAGATTTGATGAAAAAAATACAAATTTAGCAGTAGTTCCTGGCGGCCTTACAAGTAAATTACAGCCACTTGATGTTTGTATTAACAAATCATTTAAAAATAAGGTAAAATGCAAAATTTATTTTAATTTTATTTAAAAAAAATAACTAAAACTATTAATTATTATTATTTTTTATAGTACCGAGAATGTTATAATAATTGGAGGGCAGAAGAAATTAAAAATTTGACACCAACTGGATGAATACAACGTCCTGCTTATAATCTTGTAGCTGAATGGGTACAAACTTCATGGGAAAAGGTTGATATCAACCTTATACAATGGTCATTTAAATGTTGTGGCATATTTTTGATTATGAGGGAAAAAAAAACAAAATAATAGTAATTGTGTTTATGTAGATAGTGAGAGAATAATGAAAATAATGAGTGTGATGAGCGTAACGATGATGAATATGATGAATATAATGAAGAAAATAATGAAATAATTGATTTAATTAATGATGAAAATGATAAAGAAAATAATGAAATAATTGATTTAATTAATGATAAAGAATTATCTAATGATTATAGTGAAAATAGTATAGATAATTACTATCGAATTATACAAATTTATTTTAAAAAATAAATAATAAAATAATTTTGATTTTGATTGGCCATATATATTAATCCATGTAAAATACCCGGATATATTACATTCTACCATAAATACGCCCTATGAATTATACCTAGGTATCCTACTAGGGGGGTACATTACTAGGGTGGGTATCTTATGCGGCACTTTACGGTACGTATTGTTGATGTAGAGATGCCCAATTTGGAATCCAATAAGCTGCTAAATTTGAGAATACCTCCGTGTAATGTAAAATATAATGTCGCAAAAAAATGTAAAAATAAAGTGCAAATTATTGATAACCGCAGATTACTTAGAACATAATAACTGTAACAGTATAAAAATCTTAAGGTTTTATCCACTGAAATTTTTAATTTAATTTTAATAAAGTTTGCCTGGTACCAAAAAAGCTAATATACTACATGAGTTCTTTCTCGATGCGAATGCAATTGATTTTTTTTCTAGATATTTTTATTTTATTTTTTTTTATACGCGAGAAATTTCAAAACTAAAATATTTTTTATCATAAAATAATATAAAAAATTACTACAAAAGAGCCAATAATCCTCTCACAATAATTTCTCTATGTAATAAATATACAAACATATATATATATATGATATTTTAAATATTTGATTTGAGTTTAAATTAGAAATAGAAAATTTGATTCTTCTAGAAAACCTTTGAAAATCAATAAAAATTAATAAATTATTTAAATTATTTAAGGACTTAACAAAACAATCTTAATATTTCTATATATAGAAACGATTGATGTAGAATGTTTATAATTCAAGATTGAGAACCAGATTGATATTTTGGGGGCACTACATTTTGCGTGATATAGAATAATTCCGACACCAAACATTATTAATTTTAAATTTTTAAAGTTTTAAAATTCATGAATTGGAGGAACTTCTTTAAAAGTA